CCGCGGAGATGGATGTCTGGCTGTGCAGGGCGGGCATTGTTCTCGGGGGTCCTCTTGCCTGTTCACCTAGCGGAGCAGAGTTGGCTGGGACAGTCCCGACTCAGCAGTATTCGTGAGGTTTGCACACCACCCCAAAAGCGGGACCCGCTCTGTGAGGCTTTCATGTGGCCCGGGGGCAGCTGGGGCCGAGGAGAGCAGCCCGCGCCGACGCCTTCGTCCGGAGCTGGGGTCGGAAGTGAGACGTCAACGGGGCCTGTGGGGAGAGGAGGCGGGCTCCTGCGGTCCTCACCTCGTCACAGGCGAGGAAGCCGCAGCCCGGGACCAGAAGCGAGTGTGCAGTAAAGATTTGAGCAGCGTGTCCCCCCGGCGCCCGCCCCAGCCCCAGCCCCCCGTCCTGCGGGAAACGGCAGCTGCAGGGGCCGGGCTTGGGGTGTGCCCGGCGGGCCCCAGCTGCAGGTGACTGGACTCACGCCGTGTTTGCCAGACCCAGCCGCAGGGGCGGGCCCCGTGTTCGGTCCTCGCCGTCTGCTGGAACCCGCCTCCCCGGCCTCCGCGGAGCCGGGGCGCGGGGTGCAGGGCGGCAGGGCTCCCGGGCCGTGTCCGGGGTGACCCTTACCTGGCGCGCTGCAGCCGGACGTGGCGTCCTGCGCCTCACCTCGCCTGGCGCCGTCCGCTTGGCACCCGCCCTTGCCCTCGGGGCCCGGAGGGGAGCACTGTCCTGGGCAGCCGTGGTGGACCGGCGCTGCACCTCGGGGGCGGCAGCCCCCGCTGCGAGCTGGGGTCACGTCTTCTCAGCTCCCGGCCTCCGGGACCCGGTCGCTTGGCGGCGGCGTGCGGGTCACCGGTCAGTCCCGAAGCTTTGGGAAGGGCACCCTGGCTTGCCAGGAGGCGCCGCCGCGCGGGCCGGCCAGGACGCGCCCTGCCATCAGCCGCGGTCCTGAGACCGGCCATGGGTGGCCCCCGCACGCAGCTTCCACATGGCCGCACGCGACGTCCTCGCTGCCCTCCGAGGTGTCGGTGCGGGGCGTCCTCGGACTTGCCTGCTGGCGCAGCTGCCGCCCTGCCCAGTGGACCCCCGGCCCCAGCACCCCCTTTTCTGTGTCTTCGTCAGTCTTTGCTCTTCGGGACTTCCCCATAGTGGAACTGCACGGAGTGGCGCCCACGGCCAGCGCTGTCCCCGCTGCCGCCTCCCGCTGCACCCCCGTCCGTGCGGTGACGGGGTGCTGGCTCCCACGGGGCAGCGGGGCGCACGCCCGCGGAGCGTGTGCGGGAGCTCCGGGCGGACGCCGGGTCAGAGAGCACTTGCAGCTGTGACTCTCGCCTGTAGGCAGAATCACCGCATGCGACGCACCTGTTACCTGTTCCGTGACGAGCCCCTGGCTCACCGGCAGTTCCGTGGCCTAGAGGCTTGCCGGCTGGGAGCGGCTGTCACGCTGGCCCGCCGCGTGCCCCCCCGCGTTCCCCCCCCCGGCAGCCCCCACACTGGGCGCGGGCAGAGTCGCCACTACCCGAGGGCCGGGGCGGCCTCGGCGCAAAGCTGCGTCACGGGGCCTCTCATTGTCACGGTTTTGACCCACCCGCCCCTGGAAGAGAGGCGACACCTTGGGCCTGTGGGGCCCAGCAGGTACAGCGGGCTGAGGCCCAGCCCATGTAGACAGCTGGATTAGACAGCCGGTGTAGACAGCCGGTGTAGACAGCCAGTGGTGACAGCCGGTGCTGACAGCCAGTGGTGACAGCCGGTGTAGACAGCC